GAGGGCCCGGGGTGGCCTCTTCCCGCCCCTATAGTAAAGGAACCTCCTCTGTTGATTTGTAGGTCTTCCATTCACACACGCACAGATACAGCAGGGGCCTAGCAGACAAAGTCAGGATGTGACATTCACTCACAGGAAGAGAAGCCAAACAACTTTTTTTCAGCTTTTTTGGCTACGCTGCTGTGTCGCTGGCTGCTGAGTGAAGTTGGAGCCTCAAGGTCTGTTGGTGGCTGGGAAGGAGAGTGTATCCATAGGATCCGGAGAGGGACAGATCTGCCTGGATCCAAAGACTCCCCACAGCATTCCAAGCCGTCCACACTGGGACCCCAGCCAGGTACTGTGGGGAAACATTTCCCCTTTCTTTTTTATTTCTCACGCTCTTTCTCTTTGTTCCATATAATTAGATCTTACTGAATTTGTTCCTTTGCATTAGCTACTGTTTTCTCTCTCCCACATACAGTATTTGTGTAGGACCTTGAAATAGCTATTGTTATTCTCCAGTGTCAGAAGGAAATTCCATGGAAAATCTGTAAAGTATGCAGGGTGCATAGTGGGCCTGGTCCACCGTCCCGTGTACATGATCAGACATGCATCAGTCTTTAACTGGAGAGGCATGAAGAGACTGAGAAGCAGTGAAGTCATAATCAAAGTGAAAGGACCATTATCCCCTATCCCTTGGCCTATGTAGACATTTCTTCTCTGTGCACTGTGACTGTTATATAATAACTCTGAGGTTTACTGCCCATGACTGTTATTCACATTTGTGGGACTGATATGGATTTAGACTTAGATACCATAACTAAGGGAGTGTAGTGGCCATCATAAAATCAGTTACCTATCCAGTTGTGGACCAGCTCCTTCTGTCATGTGGTCATTCTCCAAGTGAATACTCAATGCCTCTAATGTAAATTATCCACTAGAGATAATAGATGTGAAGTACTGAGGAAGAGGAGGATATTGTTCACACCACACATACTGTGTAACAAACACCATACAGATGTGGAGGAAGCTGTCCAGAAGATGAATGACATTCATACATTAGGCCTACTGTCCTGAGTAGTGAGAGCGGAAGCTCTTTGTCAAGTTTTTGCTACAGTCTGAGAGCAAAACCATACTAAAACTACACTAAACCAAGTGGAATGCAACATTTCTACTTGGGCTCATTCTGCATTACTCTGTACAGTTCAGGCTCAAAGCACACAAATAGGCTTGACTTACACTGAGTGTACAAAACATTAGGAACACTTTCATATGTTATTTTTTTTTTTTTTTTTTTTTTTCACCTTTATTTAACCAGGTAAGCCAGTTGAGAACAGGTTCTCATTTACAACTGCGACCTGGCCAAGATAAAGCATAGTAGTGCAATAAAAAACAACAACACAGAGTTACATATGGGGTAAAAAACATAAAGTCAGAAATACAACAGAAAATATATATACAGTGTGTGCAAATGTAGCAAGTTATGGAGGTAAGGCAGTAAATAGGCTATAGTGCAGAATAATTACAATAGTATTAACACTGGAATGGTAGATGTGCAAGAGATTATGTGCAAATAGAGATACTGGGGTGCAAAAGAGCAAAATAAATAACAATATAGGGATGAGGTAGTTGGGTGGGCTAATTTCAGATGGGCTGTGTACAGGTGCAGTGATCGGTAAGGTGCTCTGACAACTGATGCTTAAAGTTATTGAGGGAGATAAGAGTCTCCAGCTTCAGAGATTTTTGCAATTCGTTCCAGTCATTGGCAGCAGAGAACTGGAAGGAATGGCGGCCAAAGGAGGTGTTGGCTTTGGGAATGACCAGTGAGATATACCTGCTGGAGCGCAGACTACGGGTGGGTGCTGCTATGGTGACCAATGAGCTAAGATAAGGCGGGGATTTGCCTAGCAGTGATTTATAGATGGCCTGGAGCCAGTGGGTTTGACGACGAACATGTAGTGAGGACCAGCCAACAAGAGCGTACAGGTCACAGTGGTGGGTAGTGTATGGGGCTTTGGAGACAAAACGGATGGCACTGTGATAGACTACATCCAATTTGCTGAGTAGAGTGTTGGAGGCTATTTTGTAAATGACATCGCCGAAGTCAAGGATCGGTAGGATAGTCAGTTTTACGAGGGCATGTTTGGCAGCATGAGTGAAGGAGGCTTTGTTGCACCCCCTTTTTCCCTCAGAACAGCCTCAATTCATCGGGGCATGGACTACAAGGTGTCGAAAGTGTTCCACAGGGATGCTGGCCCATGTTGACTCCAATGCTTCCCAGTTCCCACATTTGTGTCAAGTTGGCTGGGTGTCCTTTGGGTGGTGGACTATTCTTGATACACACAGGAAACTGTTGAGTGTGAAAAACCCAGCAGCGTTTCAGTTCTTGGCACACTCAAACCGGTGCGCCTGACACCTACTACCATACCCCGTTTAAAGGCACTTAAATATTTTGTCTTTCCCATTCACCCTCTGAATGGCACACAAACACAATCCATGTCTCAATTGTCTCAAGGCTTAAAAATCCTTCTTTAGCCTGTCTCTGCCCCTTCATCTACCCTGATTGAAGTGGATTTAACAGGTCACATCAATAAGGCATTATAGCTTTCAACTGGATTCACCTGGTCAGTCTATTTCTATGTTCCTAATGTTTTGTACACTTAGTGTATATAAGAACAGAAACTGGTGGCCAGTTTAACCACACAAGCTGCAGCATAACAAACCCAGGAAGTGTTAAGAGCAGCTGTGTGAAATGGGACGTGGGACATAAATGCGGTCACATCACCACCAGACAGTGTCATTTAGAATGGATGAAAGGAGCAACAGCAGATTCAAAACTATTCTAGAACATCACACTGTTTGTATTATATTCAGTATACCTTTTGCAACAATATCTGTATGACTTCTTGAGAGCTGTAATTTTGGCTTGACTTTTCAGAGCTCTCCACATGAAACTCAGTCATGGAAACTAACTCAGTAAAGAAAAGTACATCCGTAAATTTCAGACCCTTCTAAACGATGGAGCCGAGTAGCCAGATTCTCAGTGGGCTACTACTGCCCTGTACTGAACTCCTTCTGTAATTCAGAAAGGCAGAGTTGCTGTGTTTTGCTTGCAGTTCAGGAGTATTAACACAACACTCTTCTCTTCTCTCTGGCGGACTTGATTCATACTCTAGTTCAGTGGTTCCCAACTCCAGTCCTTCAGTACCCCCCTTGACAAACACACCCCATTCAACGCATTGAGGGCTTGATGATTAGTTGACAAGTTAAATAAAATAAGTAAAAATGTGTACTGTTGGGGGTACTAGAGGACCAGGATTGGGAAACACTGCTCTAGTTGTTGTGATGACTCATCCTCTAAATGACTACCTTTTTAGTCTGCCGTTGGCCTATCATACTGAGCCTCTAATACTGATAATCATTTGTTATCGACCTTCATGATGAACAAGTAATTTAGTGTAATAAACAGGCAGGTCTGGAGGACCCACTTTACATCCTATTGACCCGAGATGATGATGACATTCCCTCTCTGTAACATTGACTGTCTGAAAGGAAAATGTCAAACCCATTCAGGCTGTTTGATCCTTTATTAGCCCAGGACACTGCAAAATAATCTCTCCATTATCTACCAGATGGGTAATAGCTAATGACTGGATGTCTGAGACTATTGCAGTATGTATACTGTGTTCCGGTATCTGTTCATCCCTACAGCCAGGCGAGCAGCTTTCTCCATAACATCCTCAGTCAGTTTGTCCATGTTCCACCTTTGTCAATATTGTATCAAATCAAATTTTATTTGTCACGTACACAGTTTACAGCAGGTATAAAAGGTGCAGATCAGGTATCAGGTCAATAGTAAAGGTGCTAAACAAACTCAAGGTGCTGCATTTGAACTTGAGGCAATGTAGCCGTACAAACGACTCCAATTGATTTTCTCCATTGGAGTCATATGGCCAGTGAGAGTAGGGGTTTCTGTTGAGCGTGTGGATGGATGCTTTGGGTGTAAAGTTCAAGAAGCTAGGTCTGAATGTGTCACGTACAAATGACGTAAAGAACAGCTGACTTCCCAGTACTACCAAAAATGTCATAGTGAAGTACAGCATGCTGTTAATTCAGTCAATTACCGTTGATTATATCTCTCTGATCTCATTTACATTTACATTTACGTCATTTAGCAGACGCTCTTATCCAGAACGACTTACAAATTGGTGCATTCACCTTATGATAGCCAGTGGGACAACCACTTTACAATTTTTTAAAAATTATTTTTCTAATTTTTAAATGCTACATTTTTAGAGTATATTTTTAATTTTCATTTGTTTTATATATATATAGTATTTTATTTTTATTTTTGTGTGGGGGTGGGGGTAGGATTACTTTATACTATCCCAGGTATTCCTTAAAGAGGGTTTCAAGTGTCTCCGGATTTCAGTATTATATCATGCTGGACCTATTTCAAGGACCAGATGGTTGTCAGTATTGTAACCTTCAACTCATTTTACATAGCAGCCACCAGAAATGAATGCCGCAAATGGATTCTTGTACACTCCACTGTTGGTTTGTCCTCATATTTGGGGGCATATTTTATATTCAGAGCAGTTTCACAATCACAACATGCTTTGCTTATCACGTCCGTCAAAGCTATTCCCTTTGTAAACAAGTTGACAATACTGTTTATACTTTGCTGTTTTCGTTTGCTGATCTCTATCATGTTGCCTAATTTGCAGGCATGATAGTATTGTGGTACTTTGTTTGCAGGCATGATAGCATGGTGGGAGAGCCATTCTAACCTCTCATGACCTTTCTTGTTGTTTTCTCTATTTTTCAGAGACAAGTCCCTGCATTCCCATCCGTCCCCAATGTAGAGGTCACTGCCCTCTGAATAGCAAGAACTTAACCTGAACAAACGTATGTTTGTGAAACCTGTCCAATCCCCTCTCAGGAACACCCCCCCCCACACACACACACACACACACTGTCCATTAGGCCCACACCTCACCATAAAGTCTACCATTAAGACAATGGCTCTCTGTCTCGGACAAGTCTTCAGCAAAGACAAAACGTTCAGGCCTCGGAAGCGCTTCGAGCCTGGGACCCAGCGCTTTGAACTGTACAAGAAGGCCCAGGCCTCTCTGAAGTCCGGCCTGGACCTGAGGAAAGTGGTCCAGCTTCCCGATGGAGAGAACATCAACGACTGGATCGCCGTGCACGTGGTGGACTTCTTCAACCGCATCAACCTAATCTACGGCACGGTCAGCGAGTTCTGCACCGAGCGCACCTGCCCCATCATGTCCGGGGGCCTGCGCTATGAGTACCGGTGGCAGGACGGAGATGACTACAAGAAGCCCACCAAGCTGCCCGCCTTGAAGTACATGAACCTGCTGATGGACTGGATCGAGACCAACATCAACAACGAGGACATCTTCCCCACAAGAGTAGGTGTGTGAGGACCTCATACTAAACCCTGAGGGACTCCTCTGTAGGGGGACTGTCTTTGGAGTTAGAGTTTAATCTATTGGGGTGTGTGACCATGGAAGCTATAGCTACTAGCTATATAATGGGGCTTCAGGGTGCAAAGGTATATTGATGTTCAGGAGACATTCTCGGCTGCAATGGTCCTATAGAACGTCAATGTACAGAACGTTTACGGCAGTATTTATAACGAAAGCTCTTTGATGTAGAGCTAAGTGGATGATAGTGAATGCATCTGTGATGTTGCATCATGCCCCACCCTCTCTGACAATACCTATAATGGATCTAGAAAGGCTCAAGGATAGGTTAATTATACAATGAGGGTGGCATTTAGAAGAAATTGAAAGGGGTACTCTGAGTCTATTGTATTGGATACTGATATCCAGTGTGTGGTTTGAATGATCTTCAATGGAAACTAATGTGATTGTGTTTTAATGCTTGGTGAAAATGCAATTATTTAACATAATAGAACAAAATTATGGAACATAATGATATTCTGAAAGTTATTTTTTATTTTAATTAAAAATATATAATTAAAATAAAACCACCTTTATTTAACCAGGTAAGCCAGTTCTCATTTACAACTGTGACCTGGTCAAGATAAAGCAAAGCAGTGCGATAAAAACAACAACACAGAGTTACATATGGGGTAAACAAAACATAAAGTAAAAAAAACAACAGAAAATATATATACAGTGTGTGCGAATGTAGTAAGTTATGGAGGTAAGGCAATAAATAAATAGGCCATAGTGCAAAAATAGTTACAATTTTGTAATTAACACTGGAATGATAGATGTGCAAAAGATGATGTGCAAATAGAGATACCGGGGTGCAAATTAGCAAAATAAATAACAATATGGGGATGAGGTAGTTGGGTGGGCTAATTTCAGAATGGCTGTGTACAGGTGCAGTGATCGGTAAGCTGCTCTGACAACTGACGCTTAAAGTTAGTGAGGGAGATAAGAGTCTCCAGCTTCAGAGATATTTGCAGTTCGTTCCAGTCATTGGCAGCAGAGAACTGGAAGGAATGGCGGCCAAAGGAGGTGTTGGCTTTGGGGATGACCAGTGAGATATACCTGCTGGAGCGCAGACTACGGGTGGGTGTTGCTATGGTGACCAGTGAGCTAAGATAAGACGGGGATTTGCCTAGCAGTGATTTATAGATGACCTGGAGCCAGTGGGTTTGGCGACGAATATGTAGTGAGGGCCAGCCAACAAGAGCGTACAGGTCACAATGGTGGGTAGTATATGGGGCTTTGGTGACAAAACGTATAGCACTGTGATAGACTACATCCAATTTACTGAGTAGAGTGTTGGAGGCTATTTTGTAAATGACATCGCCAAAGTCAAGGATCGGTAGGATAGTCAGTTTTACGAGGGCATGTTTGGCAGCATGAATGAAGGAGGCTTTGTTGTGAAATAGGAAGCCGATTTCTAGATCTAACTTTTGATTGGAGATGCTTAATATGAGTCTGGAAGGAGAGTTTACAGTCTAACCAGACACCTAGGTATTTGTAGTTGTCCACATTCTCTAGGTCAGACCCGCCGAGAGTAGTGATTCTAGTCGGGTGGGCGGGTGCAAGCAGCATTCGGTTGAAGAGCATGCATTTAGTTTTACTAGTGTTTAAGAGCAGTTGGAGGCTACGGAAGGAGTGTTGTATGGCGTTGAAGCTCGTTTGGAGGTTTGTTAACACAGTGTCCAATGAAGGGCCAGATGTATATAAAATGGTGTCGTCCGCATAGAGGTGGATCCGAGCGTCACCAGCAGCAAGAGCGACATCATTGATGTACACAGAGAATAGAGTCGGCCCGATTATTGAACCCTGTGGCACCCCCATAGAGACGGCCAGAGGTCCAGACAACAGGCCCTCCGATTTGACACATTGAACTCTATCTGAGAAGTAGTTGGTAAACCAGGCGAGGCAGTCATTAGAGAAACCAAGGCTATTTAGTCTGCCAATAAGAATGCGGTGGTTGACAGAGTCGAAAGCCTTGGCCAGGTCGATGAAGACGGCTGCGCAGTACTGTCTTTTATCGATCGCGGTTATAATATCGTTTAGGACCTTGACCAGCTCGGAAACCGGATTGCATAGCGGAGAAGGTACGGTGGGATTCGAAATGGTCGGTGATCTGTTTGTTAACTTGGCTTTCAAATACTTCCGAAAGGCAGGGCAGGATGGATATAGGTCTGTAACAGTTTGGATCTAGAGTGTCACCCCCTTTGAAGAGTTACAAACTGATTTTCATTAATGCATCCAGGGATGGTCTCTAAAATGAATCTAATGGTTTGCAAAGGCTCAATGCTTTAATGAAAGGTAACTAACTAGCCAGTGTTCCTCCTGATTGACTGTTCTATCCTTCTTGTTGTAGGTGTTCCTTTCCCTAAGAACTTCCAGCAGGTGTGTAAGAAGATCCTGAGCCGACTTTTCCGGGTCTTTGTGCACGTCTACATCCACCACTTTGACAGCATCTGCAGCATGGGCGCCGAGGCTCACATCAATACCTGTTACAAACACTACTACTACTTCATCTCTGAGTTCAGCCTCATCGAGCACTCAGAACTGGAGCCCCTGGTGAGGAAGGAGGTGTGGTGGTGAGTAGGGTTGCACATTTCGGTAACTTTCCCAACATTCCCAGTTTTTTTCTGAAATCCTGGTTGGAAGTTTCCTGGAATTATGAGAGAATAAGCAGGAAATCCAGGAATCCACCATCCAGGATTTCTGGAAAGCCAGGGAATTTGGTGAAAGTTAGCTGAATTTTGCAACCCTATGGGTGAGCTTACGGCACGATGTTAACTCCGTTACACTTGGATGGGAGGTTTTGATTAATATATGTACAGTAAGTTCATATATACAGTGCATTTGGAAAGTATTCAGACCCCTTTACTTTTTCCACATTTTGTTACATTACAGCCTTATTTTAAAATGGATTACATTTTTTCCCCCCTCATCGATCTACACACAATACACCATAATGACAAAGCAAAAACAGGTTTTAAAATGTTTTGCAAAAGTATACTACCAGTCAAATGTTTGGACACACCTACTCATTCAAGGTTTTTTCTTTATTTTTACTATTTTCTACATTGCAGAATAATAGTGAAGACATCAAAACTATGAAATAACACATATGGAATCATGTAGTAACCAAAAAAGTGTTAAACAAATCAAAATATATTTTATCAAATCAAATAGCCACTCTTTGCCTTGATGACAGCTTTGCACACTCTTGGCATTCTCTCAACCAGCTTCATGAGGTAGTCACCTGAAATGCATTTCAGTTAACAGGTGTGCCTTGTTAAAAGTTAATTTGTGGAATTTCTTTCCTTCTCAATGCATTTGTGCCAATCAGGTTGTGTTGTGACAAGGTAGGGGGGGGTATACAGAAGATAGCCCTATTTGGTAAAAGACCAAGTCCATATTATGGCAAGAACAGCTCAAATAAGCAAAGAGAAACGACAGTCCATCATTACTTTAAGACATGAAGTTCAGTCAATACGGAACATTTCAAGAACTTTGAAAGTTTCTTCAAGTGCAGTCGCAAAAACCATCAAGCGCTATGATGAAACTGGCTCTCATGAGGACCGCCACAGGAATGGAAGACCCAGAGTTACCGCTGCTGCAGAGGATAAGTTCATTAGAGTTACCAGCCTCAGAAATTGCAGCCCAAATAAATGCTTCACAGAGTTCAAGTCACAGACACATCTCAATATCAACTGTTCAGAGGGGACTGTGTGAATCAGGCCTTCATGGTCGAATTGCTGCAAAGAAACCACTACTAAAGGACACCAATAAGAAGAAGAGACCTGCTTGGGCAAGTAACATGAGCAATGGACATTAGACCAGTGGAAATGTGTCCTTTGGTCTGGAGTCCAAATTTGAGATTTTTGGTTCCAACCGCCGTGTTTTTGTGAGACGCGGTGTGGGTGACCGGATGATCTCTGCATGTGTAGTTCCCACAGTAAAGCATGGAGCAGGAGGTGTTATGGTGTGGGGGTGCTTTGCTGGTGATGCTGTCTGTGATTTATTTAGAATTCAAGGCACACTTAACCAGCATGGCTACCACAGCATTCTGCAGCGATACGCCGTCCCATCTGGTTTCGCCTTAGTGGGACTATCATTTGTTTTTCAACAGGACAATCACCCAACACACCTCCAGGCTGTGTAAGGGCTATTTTACCAAGAAGGAGAGTGATGGATTGCTGCATCAGATGACCTGGCCTCCACAATCCCCTGACCTCAACCCAATTGAGATGATTTGGGATGAGTCGGATGGCAGAGTGAAGGAAAAGCAGCCAACAAGTGCTCAGCATATGTGGGAACTCCTTCAAGACTGTTGGAAAAGCATTCCAGGTGACGCTGGTTGAGAGAATGCCAAGAGTGTGCAAAGCTGTCATGAAGGGTGGCTATTTGAAGAATCTCAAATAGAAAATATATTTTGATTTGTTTAACACTTTTTTGGTTACTACATGATTCCATATGTGTTATTTCATAGTTTTGATGTCTTCACTATTATTCTACAATGTAGAAAATAGTAAAAATAAAGAAAAACCCTTGAATGAGTAGGTGTGTCCAAACCTTTGACTGGTACTGTTGAAAAAATAAAAAACGGAATTTTCACATTTACATAAGTATTCAGACCCTTTACTCAGTACTTTGTTGAAGCACCTTTGGCAGCGATTACAGCCTCAAGTCTTCTTGGGTATGACGCTACAAGCTTGGTACACCTGTATTTGGGGAGTTTCTCCCATTCTTCTCTGCAGATCCACTCAATCTCTGTCAGGTTGGATGGGGAGCGTCGCTGCACAGCTATTTTCAGGTCTCTCCAGAGATGTTCGATCGGGTTCAGGTCTGGGCTCTGGCTGGGCCACTCAAGGACATTCAGAGACTTGTCCCGAAGCCACTCCTGCGTTGTCTTGGCTGTGTGCTTAGGGTCGTTGTCCTGTTGGAAGGTGAACCTTCGCCCCAGTCTGAGGTCCTGAGCTCTCTGGAGCAGGTTTTCGTCAAGGATCTGTCTGTACTTTGCTCCGTTCATCTTTCCCTCGATCCTGACTAGTCTCCCAGTCCCTGCCGCTGAAAAACATCCCCACAGCATGATGCTGCCACCACCATGCTTCATCGTAGGGATGGTGCCAGGTTTCCTCAGGACGTGACGCTTGGCATTCTGGCCAAAGAGTTCAATCTTGGTTTCATCAGACCAGAGAATCTTGTTTCTCATGGTCTGAGAGTCCTCTAGGGGCCTTTTGGCAAACTCCAAGCAGGCTGTCATGTGCCTTTTACTGAGGAGTGGCTTCTGTCTGGCCACTCTACCATAAAGGCCTGATTGGTAGAGTGCTGCAGAGGTGGTTGTCCTTCTGGAAGGCTCTGGTTCCAAACTTCTTCCATTTAAGAATGATGGAGGCCACTGTGTTCTTGGGGACTTTCAATGCAGCAGAAATATTTGGATACCCTTTCCCAGATCTGTGCCTCGACACAATCCTGTCTCGCTCTACGGTCAACTCCTTTGATCTCATGGCTTGGTTTTTGCTCTGACATGCACTGTCAACTGTGGGACCTTATATAGACAGGTGTGTGTGCTTTTCCAAATCATGTCCAATCAATTGAATTTACCACACGTGGACTCCAAGTTGTAGAAACCTCAAGTATGATCAATGGAAACAGGATACACCTGAGCAGAATTTCGAGTTTCATAGCAAAGGGTCTGAATACTTATGTAAATAAGGTATTTCTGTTTTTTATTTTTAGTACATTAGCAAAAAAATTCTAAAAACCTGTTTTCACTTTGTCATTATGGGGTATTGTGTGTAGATATATGATCTTTAAAAAAAATCTATTTTAGAATGAGGCTGTAACATAACAAAATGTGGAAAAAGGGAAGGGGTCTGAATACTTTCCGAATGCACTGTAGTGCAGGGGCAGGGGGTGTCTGGATATTCATTTATGAGGGAATATCCTTCACATACAGTCATTCAGACTTACGTGGTCTAGTTTTGCTGTAGTTCAATGAGGGAGGAGCTTTGCCGTCATAAAACAGAAGCAGTGGATTGTCACTGTTATTTCACACCACAAGAGAACATGTCGTTTTGTGTGTCTGTTCAAACCACAAACTGGGTGATTATACGGAATCACACTCTGGGCATAGAACATAATGACTAAATCACAGTCTAGTATAAGATAATTGTATGATAGCTGCTTGTCTTTAATTGTTCCCTTTGGCACAGTCATTGGAATTAATGATGCACTACTTATTTCCCAAATTTGAATCATAAAATAAAATTGTTAAAGTCTGTAAAAAATCTGGTTTGGTTTATATAAGCATTATAAGCGACATTGCACTCTAGTCAGCCATACGTGAGAATGTCACTTTCAAGTTGTTTTCTCTAGTGCAGAGCTTCATTACATCTGAACCGATGAAGGTAGGATCTCTGAGGTATACAATAAAAGGCCTCTGTTATCATCATTATGAAGTACAGACTACTTATAAATAACAATGAGACATTATATCAACAACACAATCTGGGGGGATAGATTGAGCAGTTAGCTTTTCTGCTTTTGGTTGACTATAAGTCATCTGTTTGTGAGTGAGTTCGAGTGAGTTCTCTTCAGATTATGGCTTTATTTTAGCTTATCCGTTAGGGAATGATTTTAGCGTCATCATACAGCATGTCAGCATAGGCGTGTAGTTCTGTCTGTCACCTCAAATGAACGGCGCAATCTGGGATTGGTACATCCATTTTTGGACTTTTAAATGAATGATAGACAGTGATTCTTTAAGAATATGGCTTACCAAAACAGTGACAGGTGACTGCTTTGTTTTCCTTTTCCCAGATTGCCCTTTAATCGTAGGTCTGTTCAATGGAGAAAGCTTTGTAATAGCCATTCCTATGCGTTGTTTTTGCAGCAAAGTAGGCATATAATGCAATTATTTGTCAATATCATGTTAATGCCCTGTCTCTCCTCTCTCTTCTCTACCCTCAGAGGGCAATGACAGAGAAGATCTGTAACTAAACCACTTCGACAATGGCGTTTACATCATTTCAGCATTCCCTGAGGCCTTCAAGAGACCCACAGCTTCAATACAACCGAACACTCAAACCAAAGGACAGTTAAATGGATTTTGAGTGGATTTGAAGAACTAAAGTCTTATCCATCCCAAGCATTACGTTTGTTCATAAAGTGAAATTTTCAGCTAATAGGCTATATGTTTTATGAAAAAGGACTGTTCTGCTTCCTATAGTGCTGTGACCTGATGTAGCACTCCAGTCTTCTGAGCTTTATTGTAGTAACTATTGTTTTTTTGGTACTTTTTAGTAATATAGTTTTTTGTGCATGTTCTTGACATCATCAACTTTGGAAATGTTTGCAGATTCGAGGTGTTTGAGCCATTTTGTGACAGACGGAAGGTCACAACCATAGAGATAGATAGAGGACTCATCTTTGTATCTGTGCAATTATAGTGTCTGTGACAGCATGGGCATTGAGGCTGTCTCCATTTTGAAGTAGTACATTTTCTTCTTCACGATTGGGTGATCCCGCCTGATGACCCGATTGGACATGACTCCAACAGGGTCACCTGGAGGGATCAACCAATGAAGTTGGAAGTCCCGCCCAGTTGACCACATTAAAATGGTGGAAGCCCTCAATTGCTCTGCCCATGCTAATACAGCCTTTTGGCCACTAGAGCCCTCTATCATTCTCTATGATCACAACACAAGACCTGTCTCCAGTGTTTTGCATTTTTGTGACAAATATGTGTCCAATGTGTCCCAGCCAGACAACTTGAAAAAATTAATTTGTGATGGAAGCAATAGGCCTACCTGTAATAATATAATAATAATAATTGACTTCATTTTAATTTACACAAAACCAGTTTAAATCTTACTCTGTGGGACTGATCTGATGTGTAACTGATTCAATTTCCAAGTGTCAAAAGCCTCTTTTACCCTTCCTGGCCTCTGTTGAGTTCATTTATTAGGTAAGTTATTAATCTTAAAATACTCATGACTCATGAATATAACTTGCCCTATAAATGGGGCGGCAGGTAGCTTAGTGGTTAAGAGCGTAGTGCCAGTAACCGAAAAGTCGCTGGTTCTAATCCCCGAGCCGACTAGGTGAAAAATCTGTCGATGTGCCCTTGAGCAAGGCACTTAACCCTAATTGCTCCTGTAAGTCGCTCTGGATAAGAGCGTCTGCTAAATGACTAAAAATGTAAAATCTAAAAAAAATAATAATAGGACGCCCTAGACTAGAGTATAACCTACCTTGCTACTACTAGTAGTATTTTCGATGAATGAGAGCGCTGTCATGGACCAGAAATTCCATAATATGAAATAGGGGAGGTTGTTTGGCAATACCTGACATCCTAGCGGCTTCTTCTTTTCGTCCAATGACTGAACTACATGACATGCAAGGGGGCGGGAGCTGGGAGCTTCCCGCTTTACGTCACTAACTGGATTTCACTCTGTTGTCCACACTGACCCACCATAACATCCAGAGGATGACGGAGGCTCTGGAGGAGGATTTCGGCCTATTTGGACACAGACTCCAGGTTAGATTTATTTTATTTTATATAATCAGTAATTCATAACTGAATTAGCTAGCAAGACAGGTAAGGTGGCATAGTAACTAGCTAGCAGCTAGCTAACTTAACGCTAACTATGTAACGTTACTGTAGCTAGCGCAAATGCATTTATTTGGCTTTTCATAACAAGCTCATCTGATGATACAATTATTTTAATAATGTCTTTCATAACGTCGTTATGACTTTGAGCTGATATATGGTTTGCTTGCTAGATAGACAGCTAATAAGATCGACATGTTATAACATTACCAGTATCTTTGCTCTAGCTAGCTACTGTGTGTGATTGCATAGCCTACTTTTGCTGACTATGATTTAACTAACGTTAGCTAGCTAACTTCGCTGTATTTTTGCCTCCACTCCAGTCTGGCGAGACCAAGTCGTGGCTGCTTTCACCAGTATATTTGGAGCTGCGTTTTCTGTAATCACTCAGTAACTCACCCAATTATCCAGATATGTTTGACACAGCCTACAGCTAGTAGATAAACACCGCTCTGCATATTTGTATAAGAAAAGGTCCCACCAGTTCAATGGAATGTGTGTTCAATGTTACCCAGCTTTGAGGTCTTCACTGATGGAATTCCTTAGTGTAACTTTGAATACGCTCTGCCTGTTTCTGCCCCCGCCCACATTACGTTACTGTACTAGCTAGCTATCTGAAATGTTTCATTCTTTTTCAGTTGGCAGATATGGTGAGGCAGAGCAGGGTGGCAGAGCTGCAAGCCTTCCAGCACTCTCTCCAGGTAACTCAATATTGCTGTCAGAAATAGCTAACTAGCTATCTTACTAACTTGTCATAGCGTGTGGTTTTGTCACACTTGTGACTTCCCTTAACCTTTCCTGTTGCCTCATAGATGATAACAGAGTAGGTTCTAGTAGTAACAGACTGCCAGTAATTATGCTTATCTTGACCTTAAAGCGATATGTTACATCATTTTCAATGAGTAATACAAATAGGCCTATGCTATCACTGGACGTGAAAGTGTGTTTGGGAATATCCAGGGTCAGATAAGGTCTTTGTAAGCTTTTCCCGTTTGTGCTTGCATATCAGTCGACCCTATTGGCAGGCTGCCACATGGGAAGATAACCTTGTTTTAAACCAGAAGCTTGGTTGTAATTATACTGTATTGCTCTTTTATCTAGAACATGCCATATCAGTAGATTTTAGTGTTTGTTTTGGGGCGGTTAGTTTAGGACTGCACTGGTACTTTAAGAACAAAAGTGACACTTCTCATTCTTTCTGTCCCCCTCCACCACCTGATCTCTCTGGCTCTGCTCGCACTTTCTCTCTCTATCTCTCTCTTCCTCTCTCTCTCTCTCTCTTCCTCTCTCTCTCTCTCTCTCTCTCTCTCTCTCTCTCTCCTCTCTCTCTCTCTCTCTCTCTCTCTCTCTCTCTCTCTCTCCTCTCTCTCTCTCTCTCTCTCAGTTACAGAGTAACTCTTTGGCCTCTGGCCCAGTAGGGGACAGCTGTGGTGGACAGCAGAATGTGGTGACCACCACTGCCACAGAGGAGAGACAGCGCCTCTCACAGGGCCCTCCAGGTACTGCACCTCAGGCCTCTGACCAGGGCCCGTATCGACAAAGCATCTCAGAGTAGGAGTGCTGTTCTAGAATCAGTTTTGCCTTTTAGATCATAACAAATAAGATTATATGGACAGATCCTAGATCAGGACTCCTAGTCTGAGATGCTTTGTGGATACTGACCCAGCTCCACAACCAGCTTCTCACCAGCCATGGGCGGCGCACAATTGGTCCAGCGTCGTCCAAGGTAGGGGAGGGTTTGGCCGGCAGGGATGTGGGTTCGTTTCCCTCGGGGGGCCAGTATAAAAAAACAACAACAAAAAAACAAAACATGTATGCATTCACTAAATGTAAGTCACTCTGGATAAGAGCGTCTGCTAAATGACTAAAATGTAAAATGTAAATGTAAATGTCTGCTTTGCTATCACATTGGCACATAGTAGTCCCACATGTTAGTCAGTGTACACATTGCACACACTACGCTTTAAGCAATAATTGCTTTTCTATCACATTGGCACATAGTTAGTCAGTACATCGCCCACACTTAACCCATTTAACGATCTATCAATGTGTCACAGTTTTTAAGCAATCATTCACAATTTAAGAAAACTTGTATTTTCGTTGATTGGCACATAGTCAATAGATGTTAGTCAGTATGCACATTGCAAACACTTTGCGATTCAAGCAATATTTTACAACGTAACTGTGGCTGACCTGAATTAACAGTCGACTTGTTTATACAGAGGTGGAAGCCAGCCAGCCAGTAAACATTCCAGACTCCGCCAAACCAAAGAAGAAGAAAAGGAGGTCAAGAGCAAAAGACAGCTTCACTGGAAACTTCAAAGGTAATCATGTTACACATACAGTGAGGGGAAAAAAGTATTTGATCCCCTGCTGATTTTGTACGTTTGCCCACTGACAAAGAAATGATCAGTCTATAATTTTAATGGTAGGTTTATTTGAACAGTGAGAGACAGAATAACAACAAAAAAATCCAGAAAAACGCATGTTAAAAATGTTATAAATTGATTTGCATTTTAATGAGGGAAATAAGTATTTGACCCCCTCTCAATCAGAAAGATTTCTGGCTCCCAGGTGTCTTTTATACAGGTAACGAGCTGAGATTAGGAGCACACTCTTAAAGGGAGTGCTCCTAATCTCAGTTTGTTACCTGTATAAAAGACACCTGTCCACAGAAGCAATCAATCAATCAGATTCCAAACTCTCCACCATGGCCAAGACCAAAGAGCTCTCCAAGGATGTCAGGGACAAGATTGTAGACCTACACAAGGCTGGAATGGGCTACAAGACCATCGCCAAGCAGCTTCGTGAGAAGGTGACAACAGTTGGTGCGATTATTCGCAAATGGAAGAAACACAAAATAACTGTAAATCTTCCTCTGTCTGGGGCTCCATGCAAGATCTCATCTCGTGGAGTTGCAATGATCATGAGAATGGTGAGGAATCAGCCCAGAACTACACGGGAGGATCTTGTCAATGATCTCAAGGCAGCTGGGACCATAGTCACCAAGAAAACAATTGGTAACACACTACGCCGTGAAGGACTGAAATCCTGCAGCGCCCGCAAGGTCCCCCTGCTCAAGAAGCACATATACAGGGCCATCTGAAGTTTGCCAATGAACATTTGAATGATTCAGAGGAGAACTGGGTGAAAGTGTTGTGGTCAGATGAGACCAAAATCGAGCTCTTTGGCATCAACTCAACTCGCCATGTTTGGAGGAGGACGAATGCTGCCTATGACCCCAAGAACACCATCCCCACCGTCAAACATGGAGGTGGAAACATTATGCTTTGGGGGTGTTTTTCTGCTAAGGGGACAGGACAACTTCACCGCATCAAAGGGACGATGGACGGGGCCATGTACCGTCAAATCTTGTGTGAGAACCTCCTTCCCTCAGCCAGGGCATTGAAAATGGGTCGTGGATGGGTATTCCAGCATGACAATGACCCAAAACACACGGCCAAGGCAACAAAGGAGTGGCTCAAGAAGAAGCACATTAAGGTCCTGGAGTGGCCTAGCCAGTCTCCAGACCTTAATCCCATAGAAAATCTGTGGAGGGAGCTGAAGGTTCGAGTTGCCAAACGCCAGCCTCGAAACCTTAATGACTTGGAGAAGATCTGCAAAGAGGAGTGGAACATAATCCCTCCTGAGATGTGTGCAAACCTGGTGGCCAACTACAAGAAACGTCTGACCTCTGTGATTGCCAACAAGGGTTTTGCCACCAAGTACTAAGTACTACTCATGTTTTGCAGAGGGGTCAAAAACGTATTTCCCTCATTAAAATGCAAAATCAATTTATAACATTTTTGACATGCGTTTTTCTGGATTTTTTTGTTGTTATTCTGTCTCTCACTGTTCAAATAAACCTACAATTAAAATTATAGACTGATCATGTCTTTGTTAGTGGGCAAACGTACAAAATCAGCAGGGGATCAAATACTTTTTTCCCTCACTGTAAATCAAACAAGCATGTCAAATATCCAATCACTCATGTCATTCAAAATCTAGGGTTTTAATAAATGCACCCACACCATAGATACCAGAGACAGGCTTTTGTACGCTTCTCTTTTCTCCAGACCTGTACAAACTGACGGATGAAATGCTGGGTCAGGGTGCATATGCAAAGGTCCAAGGATGCATCAGTCTTCAGAATGGGAATGAATATGCTGTGAAGGTGAGACAGAAGCTGCGTATGAAATGGTACCTTATTCCCTATTTAGTCCACTACTTTTGACCAGGGCGCATAGAGAACATATGGGACTTGTGATAAATGGCATACATCATACGCAAAGCTTTTGTCACTCCAGGGTAGTTAAAGTATGATTTGTCACTAACTGATGCTGTTTTGACCCCAAACAGTGTTTTTTTAAAAACCAGTTTGGGGTCCAAACGTTGTCCTATTATACACTTAAGACATTATACCAGTGTGCAGATTAACTTTTTGTTCTACATTATCCTCTCTGATCCAGCATCTGGGACTCGTTTTTTTATGGATGTGCACGCATACCACCCATTAAGCCAAATATTTTAAATAACTAATCCAAGATAGACCACAGCCTGTCATTTCAAATGGGAGCAAATGAATCATAGTGGGCAGAACAAGCATGTATTTGCATATTTCCTTTAGGGAACACCTGTTAAGTGCGCTTGTGAAATAGCTCAATTCGCCCTTGGACTCCTTCTAAACAACGCAACTTTTAGGAACTTTGGCAAAGGGTAAAGTCAAATTTATACATCTGGCTCATTGTTCTGTGACTAAACTTTCTTCACTCACTGATACCCGTGTCCATTTTGTTTTGTCTCAGATCATTGAGAAGAATGCGGGGCACAGTCGCAGCCGCGTCTTCCGTGAGGTGGAGACCCTTTACCAGTGCCAGGGGAATAGGTGTGTGTGCTCTTTCACTCTACAAAGTTAAAGTTCTGAAGGTTAAATGATAATAAAACATTAAAAAATCATGTCACCCACTAATGTGTCCCTATTGACATTTTCAGGAACATTCTGGAACTAATACAGTTTTTTGAAGATGACTCCTGCTTCTACTTGGTGTTTGAGAAGTTGCGCGGAGGTATGTCTTCTTGTGAGGGTGAAGCTGGGTCATGTTCATTATGCACAAGCTGGGTCATGTTCATTATGCACAAAATGGCTGGGTCATGTTCTGTACATGAACTTGTCCAATAAAAACAATGTTGTTTTCTGTTGCAAAACATGTTGCTTCTTTGTGGCCTAATGAACACGACCCTGGTTACATTAAACTATTAGGTGTTTCTCTGAAATCTCTCCTCTATCTCCTCCTGAATGCTCTCCTCTCTCTCCTCCTGAAAGCGCTCCCCTCTCTCTCGCTCCTCCTGAAAGCGCTCCCCTCTCTCTCTCTCCTCCTGAAAGCGCTCCCTCTCTCTCTCCTCCTGAAAGCGCTCCTCTCTCTCTCCTCCTGAAAGCGCTCCCCTCTCTCTCTCCTCCTGAAAGCGCTCCCCTCCTCTCCTCCTGAAAGCCGCTCCTCTCTCCTCCTGAAAGCGCCTTCCCTCCCTCCTCTCTCCTCTCCTCCTGAAAGCGCTCCCCTCTCTCCTCTCCTCCTGAAAGGCTCCCCTCTCTCCTCTCCTCCTGAAAGCCTCCCTCTCTCTCTCCTCCTCCTGAAAGCTCCCCTCTACTCCCCCTCTCTTCTCCTCCTGAAAGCTCCCCCCTCTCTCTCCTCCTGAAAGCCCCCCTCTCTCTCTCCTCCTGAAAGCTCCCCCTCTCTCTCTCTCCTCCTGAAGCTCCCCCTCTCTCTCTCTCCTCCTGAAAGCTCCCCCCTCTCTCTCTCTCCTCCTGAAAGCTCCCCCCTCTCTCTCTCCTCCTCCTGAAAGCTCCCCCTCTCTCTCTCTCCTCCTGAAAGCTCCCCCCCTCTCTCTCTCCTCCTGAAAGCTCCCCCTCTCTCTCTCTCCTCCTGAAAGCTCCCCCCTCTCTCTCTCCTCCTGAAAGCTCCCCCCTCTCTCTCTCTCCTCCTGAAAGCTCCCCCCTCTCTCGCTCCTCCTGAAGCCTCCCCCCCTCGCCCTACTCCCTCTTCCTCCTGAAGCTCCCCCCTCCTCTCTCCTCTCCTCCTGAAAGCTCCCCCTCTCTCTCTCTCCTCCGAAAGCTCCCCCTCTCTCTCATCTCCTCCCTGAAGCTCCCCCCCTCTCTCTCTCTCCTCCTGAAGCTTCCCCCCCCCTCTCCTCTCTCTCCCCTGAAAGCTCCCCTCTCTCTCTCTCCTCCTGAAAGCCTCCCCCCTCTCTCTCTCTTCCTCCTCCTGAAAGCTCCCCCTCTCTCTCTCTCCTCTCCTGAAGCTCCCACCGCTCTCCTCCTCTCCTCCTGCAACTCCCCTCTCTCCTCCTCCTCCTGAAAGATAGCTCTCCTCTCTTCCCATACAGGCTCCCATTCTGACTCAATCAGAACCGAAAAGGCACGTTGGATTGAGCTGGAGGCCCAGCCCGTGGGGTCAGGGGACATCTCCAAAGCTCTCCACTTCCTCCACAACAAAGGTAGGACCCCTGCACATGGGGCTGTCCCTGCCAGTGCCTGTATAAAATTACAGTGTGAGTGTTTCTTCATGAACATTCTCTGTTCTACAGGTATTGCCCACCGGGACCTAAAGCCAGAGAACATCCTGTGTGAATCCACTGACCAGGTAACCTTTGTTTCCCCCAATGTGCTATGGAACAACAACATATGATTTCAGTAGAAAAGAATGTTATATTTGCCAAACAGTTATTGTGGATATAGCTAGTGAATGCCTGCTATTTTTCTCTCCCTCTGCAGGTGTCTCCAGTGAAGATCTGTGACTTTGACTTGGGCAGTGGAGTGAAGCTTAGCAGTGCCTGTGTTCCTATCACCACTCCAGAGCTCACCACACCAGTAAATACCACAACCTGAACCTACCACTAACCCTGATATTTGTGTCTGTCTGACTGTCTGTTCATCTGGCAATGTCTTCATTGTCTTCGAGTGCACATTTTTCACTTTTACTGTAAAGACTGTTTTGCGATTTTAACTGCACTTTAAATCAAGTTTGATTTGACATATGTCCTCACGGTGTTTCATTTCCCTGCCTCAGTGTGGCTCGGCAGAGTACATGGCTCCAGAGGTGGTGGAGGTGTTCACGGATGAGGCCTCGTTCTACGACAAGCGCTGTGACCTCTGGAGCCTGGGGGTCATCCTCTATATTCTGCTCAGTGGCAGCCCCCCCTTCACTGGTCATTGTGGGACTGACTGTGGCTGGGACCGTGGAGAGACCTGCCGCACCTGCCAGGTACACACACCAGCAGTCTTCCTCATAACCCCCAGTTCACCTTACACATCTACAGCACTATCTTTTTTAAATCGTCTCGAAAGAACACAAACTCTGGACCTTCGAGACATATATATTATTTTGTATCTGCCATGCATTTTATTAGTGTTATAACCATTACAATTCATAAGCACTTATAGTAATTTATAAACTATGTCTAATTTATAAACATGTTTAATGACTGATTCATGTAATTATAAGTGTAACCAAAATATTGCACTACTGATGATTTTCCATTTAATATGTTGTGTCCCACCCCTGCAGAAGAATCTGTTTGAGAACATCCAGGAGGGCCAGTATGAGTTCCCAGAGAGGGACTGGGCCCACATCTCTGCCCAGGCCAAGGACCTCATCTCCAGGCTGCTGGTGCGGGATGCCACCCTCCGCCTCAGTGCTGCCCAGGTCCTGCAGCACCCCTGGGTTCAGGGGGTGAGTGTCAATTTCAAAATATGGCCAGAATCAACTACTTGTATTGGAAGTTTCTGAAAGTATTTTCAAATAATTTCCTATAAATAGCCTAATATACTTATTTCCAAATACATTATTTCAAATACCGAACAGACCTGGTTCAAATGCATGGGAATTGAATTATTTGTATAACTACTGTGTATTTGAGTTTTTATTTTTAAATACATGCCATTACTTAACAAGTGTATTTCCAAATACATTCCAATATTCAACTACTTGTGTTTCAAATAAAAAATATCCAAATACTTACTTAAGTTCCGAATGTAATTGAAATACCCTGAACAGTATTTGAACCCAGGTCTGTACTTTCTATATTGTTCCAGGGGGTCTTAATACTCTGAAGTGACTTCCTTGTCTTGTTTATTCTACACTGATCTAAGGCTGAATGTGTGAAAGCGACATCCAACAAACCAGTGGGCTTGTTTTCACCAGTACATTTCCTCCAAACTGTATATCTGTGATGAAGGAAAGGGTAAAATTTAAATAAATGGATACTGTTTGTTTCCTGGTATATCTTATTTAAACGTGTTATTTATTTTAACCTAGAATGCACCAGAGAGAGGTCTCCCAACCCCACACTTCCTCCAAAGGTAATCAACTCCGTGCTCAATTCACAGAATGTGCAGTCCATTACAGCTTATTTATTCTGTTATATGACAGGCAGATGGGTAATAAAGTCAGTCGTTAAAGTGACATTACACTTCAAAATCAAAGTTTGACACATGTTTTCAGACCTCCAAAGTAGCATAATGGACTCAACTTGACATGTTGTGGTCTGAAAACATCGGACAAAATTAGATTTAGGAGTGTGCCTGACGAATTGAGTGTATGGCTTCTAGGGCGACTAATTGAGTGTATGGCTTCTAGGGCGACTAATTGAGTGTATGGCTTCTAGGGCGACGAATTGAGTGTATGGCTTCTAGAGCGACGAATTGAGTGTATGGCTTCTAGAGCGACTAATTGAGTGTATGGCTTCTAGAGCGACTAATTGAGTGTATGGCTTCTAGGGCGTCTAATTGAGTGTATGGCTTTTAGGGCGACTAATTGAGTGTATGGCTTCTAGGGCGACTAATTGAGTGTATGGCTTGGCTTCTAGGGCGACTAATTGAGTGTATGGCTTGGCTTCTAGGGCGACTAATTGAGTATATGGCTTTTAGGGCGACTAATTGAGTGTATGGCTTCTAGGGCGACTAATTGAGTGTATGGCTTGGCTTCTAGGGCGACTAATTGAGTGTATGGCTTCTAGGGCGACTAATTGAGTGTATGGCTTCTAGGGTGACTAATTGAGTGTATGGCTTTTAGGGCGACTAATTGAGTGTATGGCTTCTAGGGCGACTAATTGAGTGTATGGCTTGGCTTCTAGGGCGACTAATTGAGTGTATGGCTTCTAGGGCGACTAATTGAGTGTATGGCTTCTAGGGCGACTAATTGAGTGTATGGCTTCTAGGGCTAAATGTGTGATCTATAATTTGATCAATCTCTGACTGCTCGTTATCTACAGGAACAGCAGCACCAAAGACCTGACCCAGTTCGCCGCCGACGCCATCGCCTTCAACCGCCAGCTGTCACAGCACGACGAGGAGCAGGAAGAAGTGGTCACCACCATCGTGACCTCCATGAGGCTCTCGCCCCCCTCCAACTCCCGGCTGGCTCGCAGGCGGGCGCAATCCAACGCTCAGCGCACCGCCCGGGACTTCCTGCCTGCTGACGACGACACCCTCATCACCTGACCAGCCCCTGGTTTAACCCCAGGGAGACCCCGTTTGGTGCTACTGCAGGCTGGAAGCTCTCTCACACCTGGTTTATCCTTCTAATATAGTTGTGTGGTTCTAAGATCCCTACATGGGCAGATTCTCAGATTTAGCACTGTCAGCATTAGAACCACTGCCAGGCTCTGTGTGCCTTCCCCTCCCCTCTTTTTTCCCCTCCATTCCCTCCATCCTGGTGCTAGCCCCCCCCCCCCCCTTCTCCTCTCTACATGGTGTTTACCATGTCACACTATCTGAGATGGACGATAGCTGCCATTGGCAGCAGACTCCTGTGTAGCTTCACAGGTTGGTAACCCCATTGTCCAAGCTCTCGTCATGGCCAGTGGTCTTCTTATCACCTTGAAACAGAGACACAGGAGGACAAAGGGAAGCACGTTTATCCTCTAGTAAACTAACACACGCTTAGTCCCAGCTTTGTATCAGTTGCTGAGTCTGGTTTCAGTGATTGGTTTGGGTTGAGGTAGTTTCCTGCATTTGATAATAATCTCAGTCTATACAGATCGCAATCCCATGTTAAGACCAGAAATAAAATCACTAGAATGGTTCTAAGCCTGTTCTAGTGATTATTTTTCTATGGTTAAGACTGATTGTGATGGTTGGTTTATGCTAGCTATACTTAATTGCACGGTTCTTTCCGTTAGCATGGGGCATTTATACACATACAGTACATGTAGCTAGTCTGTCTTATTGTAAAAATCAACTATAATTTATGTTGTGAAAAGGTTTTGGCATTATTTATAGAGTTACTGAATGCTGCAAAAGTAGAGCATTACTTTTCAGACACTTAGTAATGCCGTTTTTAGGGGTGGTCATACATTGGCTGTGTTGGCCTACATATGCTGTGAGGAGGGTTGCAAAACTTTTCCAAAATGTCCTGTTTTTTCCAGAAATCCCAGTTGGATGATTTCTGAAACCAGCAGGGAAGAAGCATCCAACCTCAACATTTTCAAGCAGGATTTCTGACAAAACAGGGAATTGTTGGAAAGTTTTGGGAATTCTGCAACCCTAGCTGTGAGTTTCCCAATAATGGCATGGAAAGCAGACACTGTGACTATGGCCTGGTATTCAGGGAATGGACTCTTTCCTTGATTATCCTAGTAAGCATTCAGGGGCCCTATTGACAGATGGGTCAATATCTACAGTATGTTGAGTATGAGTGTTTAGCCTGGAACTTTTAAGACACATTGTGCTTGCTTGCGGAAGGTGGGTTACTGAATGTTTGAATTTGAAAAGCATTTTGAGATATTTTAATGACCCTGCAATTCCATTTCTTATCTCCTTATCAAAACAACAGCTACCTGGAACACTTCTATACTTTGAAATAACTCACTCATCATATGTATCTTGAGAGTATTTGAAATGATTGCATTTCATCAGTATTTTTGATAAACTACAAGGATTACCTCAGAAACCAGAATTGCACTAGCCTGGGTGCCAGTTTGTTTGTGCTATCATGTTGTCACTCAATGTCATGCAAAACATGACAATACAAAGAGTTGACATGATGGCACAAACAGATCTGGGACCAAGTTAGAATTTGCCCCATGTCTTGCAAATTTTTTCCAAATGATGTCAGGACCATTCTGCCATTGCTTGCTTCAAATGTTTTTAACTTCTTTTCAGTCATACCAGTAATAACCTGTTGCGTTCTTTTTACGTGAATTAATTTCTGTTTTGGTTATTCACACCTCACAGAATATTGTCAGAATCCGTTTAAGTGATTTAGAAATTTGGAAATGTCTTATTTTTTTTATATACATTCTATATTCCAGAGGGGATGGCATGATAGAGATACCTTTCTCTGCTGGAAAGGGAATTATAGTTTTATATATCAGTATTTTTAGTAATTGTTTTGTTTGTGTATTGTTGTTGTTGCACAAACATTTGGTTGGTTTGTCTGTAAATGGATCTGAATAAGTGTGCCAAAGAAACCATAGATACTGATAGAAATAACTTGTGACGACTGTGAATGCTAGCATGTCACATAAAATGAGTTTCGGGTTTTAGTCAGACGGCCATTTCAGCCTGTGTAACATTTGTTCAAATCCACCTAGTTACTGAAATGCTCTTTGGTTACTGAACATTTCTGTAGTTACTGAAATGATTTGATTTACCTCTACCAGTTTGACTGTTTGACCCCTGTAAGAGCTTGTCATTTTATTAAAGTTGGTACCCCTCACCTTATTAACCCCCCCCCCCCCCACTATCCGGATCTCCCCCGGTTGCCATGGATACTCCATCGCTATAGCAACTAAGGGGCCTTACTAAGCGGGCACAAACTCTCCGTCAGAGAGGGTGCAACACGTTAGGGATCTCCCAGTGGCTATGGTAAAGCTCTCCCACTCTCATTGGGTCTTATGCAAGTGGCTGCTTAAGTCCCAAATGGCACCCTAAAGCCCATAGGGCTCTGGTCAAAAGTAGTGCACTACATAGGTAATTAGGTGCCATTTGGGACGCTGACGCTAAACTGAAATTAGATGGGAAAAGATACAGTAATTGGCATAAGCTATGCAGCTAAATACCTTATGATGTCCACCGTTTATGTTCAAGCCCACGTATGAGGTCTTATGGCAAATATACGTTTGTTCTTACAATGTTGCACATCAATAGCCCCTGTGGTATGCTGTTTTCCCAATAAAATCAAATTCTTTCTTATCAAATTCTTTGTTCTCTTTCGCTCACTTCTAGGCAGAACTCAGACGTAATGTAACAAGTTGAGCAGATTGACTGTTCTTCAAGGTTCAGTATGAGTACATAAACACGGAGAGAGGCTGACTGATCAGTCTATGGCTGGAAGAACTGATTGAATGGGTTTATTTTTGGGCCCATCACTCACCAATTGCCTATTGTAGAGTTTGAATGGAAGGGTGACATGGATGATTGTGATTCACCTGCCCACTCAGGTAAAGAGAGGAGTAGGGGTTTGTCTAGAGCGCCTAAAGGAAGGAGGTAGCAGTGAAGATGCACGAGCAGACACTGTTATGGTCCTGTAGAGCATGGCGCTTGCAACGCCAGCGTTGTGGGTTCGATTCCCGCGGGGGACCGTTAGGAAAAAGTATAGAAACGTATGCACTCACTACTGTAATTGCTCTGGATAAGAGCGTCTGCTAAAATGTAAAAATGTTATGCCGTCCTCGAGAGGGATATACACACGGAGACTGAAGAGGAAGGCACATCATGAATCATGCTTTGTTGCACTGTATGGGGTGGGTAGTTCAGAACAAGGTGTGGTACAGTTTATCTGGGCTATAGGTCTGGATGGTTTGCTAAGCAAGCAATATTTCACAGTGCCTCTATCATAGTTTGATTAAATCCAAAGCATTTGCTTAATTAATAATCAAAATGAACAATAACTATCCCCATAATACATATAGGGCTCTTTCATTTTCTGCAAAACATATAATTTGCTTGTATAGTCAATTGCTACAGATAAATCCACTTATCTGTGTTGGTTTGTTCAGCCATTAGGCTCACTGTACTTGTTTGTGTTCGTCAGTGAATGGCGCTCATATGGCGCCCCTAGCGGTATAGCGTTTACCATGCATCAAACTCAAGAGCGCTCTTCTCTTTTCGTCTATCGTTTTCCACCTGCTTGGGTGAGCGAGCTCACGAGAGAGTGTCATGTACAAGTCCACGACTCGATTGAAATGAGAGGCAAACGACGGAACAGTGTGGCATTTCAAACAAGATTACCTAAACTATGGAACTCATCACATGTAAGTAAAAGCAATTGCTCTCAACTGTTGTATCTGTTTTCATCATCAATAGAGGATTTATCTTTTCTATTCTGAATGATGAATGAATTGTCAAATGTCAATCGGTGATTTTAGAATATAATTTGGTCTTTAAACAACAATTTAAATAAAATGACTTTTGTAATGGTACTGACATTTTTTATTGTTTTATCAGGGTAACCTAATGTGTTAAAATGATTCAGTTGATTGGCTATGTGTCAATCTAAAACGTATATTTATGTATTCTATACACTTTTAACCATGTAATATAAGACCACTACTTCTTGAAAACGTATATGATCGGCTGCTTGCATATTTGCCAACATCGTATGATTGTCAAGGCTATGATGTATTTGACTTGCAGAAGAGATAATTGTTCTTTGTGTACTTAGGAATATATAGCTGAACAAAAACAATGAACTCCGAATTTCTTATTCTCTGTGGAAAAAACTGGGCATCAATATTTTGCAGAGCTGAAAATAATAAAACCCTTGATTTATCTAGTCTTTGTAGCATGTATTACTCATCATGGATGCATAATGCATCAGCTTTTCTCCCTCAATGTCAGTTGCCTTTAGACCTGTGTGACAATGACCTATTTTCTAGAAAACCTATGTCCATTATCATCTGACTCTTCTGTCTATCTCTTGTAGGACAGAGAAAACCCAGACCTGTCCTGCATCTGGGCTGGATTATGTTGTCATTAATCAAGACTATTAAATTGTATTTTAGCTGACGCCATAAAATAATTAAGTAATATGAAATCCCAAAAATATCTGACTTAGACAGTATACAACAACAAGCCTGGAGAGATGGTCCTTCCTGATAAGAGCTCCAGGACCTCAGGGCCCAAAACGGCATCCAGGAAACGGCCCCAGAGTCTCCCCTCCCCGGCACTGTGCTGCGCCTGTGGCCTGTGCATTACGCTGGCGGGCATCAACATCACCCTGGTGGGGACCTTCGCTTTCAAGTCCTTCATCCCCACCAGCAACCCACCCATCGTCATCGGGCCCCTCCTCCTACTGGTGGCCCTGTCCTTTTTCGGGGCGTGCTGTGTGTATGGGCGGCGGCCACCGACCCACAATGCCGGCAAGGCCAAGGGGGGCGAGAGCTGGGGTCGGATGCGGATGGGGGCCGGTGTCACATTTGAGATGGAGACGAGCGAACACACTCTGCAGGACACCACCACTGTGCAGCTCAGTCCCATCAACTCTCCGAGCTCCTCCCACAAGTCTAGTAACTCCGCCCACGGGGATACCCCTGCAGTAGGGGCCTGTGAGGATGGCCCCGCCCCCAGGGCAAATGATATCACCAGCTCAGAGACCTATGATATAGATGTGACACCTGATGACCAGCTCTTGACCTCTGAGGACCAGGTCTTGACCTCTGAGGACCATGTCTTGACCTCTGAGGACAAGGTCTTGACTGCTGATATTGATGATAAGGGGAGCA